CTACCAATAAAACCTAACATACTGTACGCCTTCTTAACAACGCTATCCACCTGGGTGGCAACTTTCAGTGATCTATGCACATGGACACCGAGATCTTTCTGCTCATCCACACTACCAAGAATCTTACCATTAGCCCAGTACTCTGTATTCCTGTTACTCCTTCCAAAGTGAATCACCTCACACTTTTCCGCATTAAACTCCATTTGCCACCTCTCAGCCCAGCTCTGCAGCTTATCTATGTCCCTCTGAGCTTTCATTGCTCAGAGCATTGTGTATAGGAGTTGGGACATCTTGTTGTTGCTGCACAGGACCTCGGTGAGGCCACTTTTGGAGTACTCTGTACTGTTCTGGCTGCCCTGTTATAGAAAGGATATTATTAAATTGGAAAGGATGCAGAAAAGATTTACAAGGATGTTACTGGGACTAGAGGTTTGAGTTATAAGGAAAGGCTGGATAGACTAGGACATTTTTCACTGGAACATGGGGTGACCTTATAGAGGTTTATAAAATCGTGAAGGGCATAGATAAGGTGAATAGCAAAGGTCTGCTCCCAAGGGTAGGAGAGTTCAAAACTAGAGGGCATAGTTTTAAGGTCAGAGGGGAAAGATTTAAAAGGGACCAGAGGGGCAACTTTTTCACATGGAAGGTGATGCGTATATGGAATGAACTGCCAATGGAAATGGTAGGTGTAGGTAGAGTTACAATATTTAAAAGACATTTGGACAGGTACATGGATAGGAAAGGCTTGGAGGGATATGGGGCAAATGTAAGCAAATGGGAAATGAAACCTGGTCAGCATGGACGAGTTGGACTGAAGGGTCTGTTTCCATGCTGTATGACTCTATACATACCTCTACAACCAATACCTCATGTATTTGGCACCTTATTGAATTCCTTTTGGAAATCTACATACTGTACCTATACTGGTCCCCTTTTGTCTATCCTACTAATTACAATCTCAAAAAATGAATTAATTTATCTAACACAACTTTTTTTTCAGAAAACCACATTGTGTTGGTCTTATAATACTAAGATTTTCATATGCATTGTTAAGACTTCCTTAATAATAGATTCCAGCATTTTCTCAATGACTAATATATGGTTAATTGTCATTCCATGTTTTCTCTCTCCCTCCTTTCTTGAATTGTGCTGATACATTCAGCAACACTTGGACTGTTCTAGAATCCAGGAAGCTTTAGAAAATTCATGACCAGTACATCCACTACAGTGGTAGCTACCTCTTTTAAGCTCCTATGATGTAGGAATCAGGTTTTGGGGATTTGTTGGATCCAAAGTTTCTCTAATGCTTTTTCTCTGCTGAAATTAATTCCCTTGTGATGCCTACTCCCTAGCTTATTCTTTATTCCTGGTGTGTAATGGCTGGATTTTACTCTCAATGGCAAAATATCAGCTGTCTTAATAAAAATCCATATCTACTTTGGCTGTAGGCTGCAGAGAAAATTACCTCCTTGCAGCAGGACCGAGCATTGGGCAAGTGAGTACTTCCAACATGGTGTCCAGTGAACACAGCCACACCCTTTTGATGGGATGGCTCTGAGTTGAAAACCATATAACCACTGGGATGGCACAGTAGCTCAGTGGTCAGCACTGCTGCCTCACAGCGCTAGGGACTCAGGTTCAATCCCACCCTCAGGTGACTGTCTGTGTGGAGTTTACACATTCTCCCCATGTCTGCATGGGTTTCCTCCAGGCACTCCGGTTTCCTCCCACAGTCCAAAGACATGCAGGTTAGGTGGACTGGCCATGCTAAATTGCCCATAGTGTTCAGGGATGTGTAGATTAGGGGTATGGGTCTGGGTGGGATGCTCTGAGGGTTGGTGTGGACTTGTTGGGCCAAAGGGCTGTTTCCACACTGTAGGGATGCTATAAAAAAAATTTTTAGAAAATATTCCTAAAACCAGTAACAGGTCAGAATTCAAAAAAATGATTTTTAATATTTAAAAGAGCAATTTTAAAAAATATTGTAAATTTTAAATGATATTAACACTTACTTAGGTTTGCCATAGTGTATCACATAACTTTGACTGTTCTCCATCCCTGGCTGCTCTCTTTCCCATTCACTAAGTGCCTGTTCACCCTAACCCTGATACCTCTCCAACTGCTCCTCTCTAGGGCCCTTCAATCATCAAACCCACTCATATTGAAACAAGCAGTTGGTGAAGGGGGCAGGAAGGGTGTCATGGGTGTTGGTTTAGTAGAGGTACAAGGTGTGCTGGGTAATTGGGAATCTTTTTCTTTTCAAAATTTGCAACAGTTTATTTTGTAGATGGGGATATAAACATTTAGAGAGTTGACCCCTTGGATTATGCCTGAAACTGTCAGCAGACCATATGGCCAAACCCATGTAAGTTGAGGGAAAACAGGCAAAGTTTTCAAATTATTGGGTACTTCAAAGGTAAGGCAAACTTCAGGTTGCCATGATCCAAGAAGATTGTTATTCAGAGCCGCTGATGGTTTGTCTTCAAAGTCACTATGACACAGGTGAGGGTAGAGATTGAGAAGGAGAGTCCTTCACGGTAGCCTCAGCTGGTGCAGGATTTGAACTCACAGCATTGGTATAAAATCTCAACAGTGTATGAGCAGGCCATTCAGCCAGGAAAATCCATACTGACCCTCCAAAAAGGTTCCCCCTGCCCCCAAACCCTACTTTTCCCCAGCTAATCCACTTAACCTGCACATCCCTGGATCCTATGAGCAACTTAGCATGGCCAACCCACTTAACCTGCACATCTTTGGACTGTGGGAGGAAACGAGAGCACCCGGAGGAAACCCACGCAGACACGAGGAGAATGTGCAAACTCCACACAGACAGACGCCTGAAGGGGGGAATGGAACCCTATCCTTAGCGCTGTGAGGCAGCATTGCTAACCACTGCTCAGCCCCACCTCGCCCTGCCCATTCACTATATCAGTTTATATCACAAACCAGCTATCCAGCCAACTAAGCTAACATTCCCCCCTTCTTCCATTTTAAGAGAGTAGAAATGGCAAGACTGTCAACGTTCATTGCTTTCAGACACTTAAAGACCAATAACTTCTGAAAAGAAATTCAGACTTCCCGTTAATGACTGAAAATATGAAACAGCAAGGTTTCACATTTTAAAGATATTTGGTGTAACAAAACACTAAAATAACTTGACTAAAAAGCTATCTTCTCATGGTTTAACCCAGGGAACAACATTCCATCCCTTTTTAGTTTTAGCACAAATGGGAAACATCCTACAGGTGTACGCAACGCTGCTCTTCTAGTAGAAATGCAGTTCTGCTCGGATCAGCCCAAACGGCTAAGGATTTTACTTCTTCCTATTCCAATCTGGGAACTTCTTAATTCCAGAACTAGCTGGACGCAAATTTTCCTGGAGACTGCTTCTTCAGGCTATCGCTAGATCAATCTTGCACCTTCCTAACGAATTTGATCTTCTTTCAGTCAAAGCGCAGATTTCCATATAACTTCCGGCGCAGTGAAATTTAAGAGATGTTCACACTCTCGCTGCGCTCCCTATCCCGGACGTTTGCAGAAAAACGCGCTTGTCATTTCAATCTTATTTTAGCAAAACATGCAACCCAGGGGCATCCAATTTCTTCGTTTGAGAGAGCCACATTTCATTCCTCTTTGTCTCACTTCATTGGGTCAGTTTTGAAATGATAAAGAAATTTAGGAATCGAAGCACCAACTGGCCATTCAGCCCCTCGAGCCGCTTCTATCATTCCGTTAGACCTTAATTGACCTAAAGCTTCCTGTACCTGCCTTTAGTTCAAATCCCATGATACCTTCCCCCAATAATTTCCAGCTCGAAAACGCCACTTGTTCCCCACCGTCCAAATACCCCGCGGAGTGGGTGTGCGCGATGGTTCCATTGCCTTCTTTTTGAAAAACTTCACTCCTGAAATTTAAAATAGTTTTAAAATCATGCCTCCCACAAAGAAAATAACGTCTCCGCCCCTTCAAGCCATTTTTTAAAAAAATCTCTGCCGTTATAGATTTGTGTCTTCCAGTATCCAATTAATCGCTGCCAATCCCCTTCAACAGTACGCTATAACCCAGAATAAACTCCCCACTGATGATTATTTTAATCTAGAATGTACTAGAACAGCTAGTTAACAAGTTCTAAGGAAGGGTCACTCGACCCGAAACGTTAACTCCGATTTCTCTCCAAATATGCTGCCAGACCCGCTCAGCTTTTATGTTATACCGGGAAGTTACCAGAGTAGAATTAATGTTTCAATTTTGTGCAGACCTTGTTGTGTTTGTTTTATTTCCTTGCTGCAATCCCGTGTTTTGAAGAAAATGAGGTGCATTTTGAAATGACTGTTATAATGTAGGAGAGTTAGCGGCCACATCATACACAGCAAGATCCCGCAAATAACAATTGGACAATGGTCAGGCGATCCGTTTCAGTTGAGGAGATAAATGTTGACAAAGTCACAGGGAGAAACCCCCAACTCTTCTTCGAAATTCCATGGGATGTTTTAGGACTGAGTACAAGAGCGCTACCATCAAACCATACCGAATATTTTAAGGCAGTTCACCTAGGTATTGGTGAGAAACCATTCGTAACTGTATGGAATTCCTGTTTGTAAAGTCGGTCAAAAGATCGTTTCTATAGAATTGTGATGAACTCTTATGCTCCAAATCCGTGACACCCCCCAATTCGAATTTTTAAAAAGGTAACAAACAAGGGAACTCCAAATCACACAGTAATCTATCCTGGAGCTGCAGCAAACACACGGAAAACCCTGGAGAAACTCAGCTGGTCTGGAAGCATCTGTGGAGAAAGAAACAAGAGTTAACCTTTGGAGTCTAATGACCCTTCGGAGTTATTGGTCGCTGCGGTTCAAGGTAACTCACCACCACCTTCTGAAGGGTAACTAGGGATGGGCAGTAGACATTGGCCGTGCCGAGTTGCTGGGGAACTGGAGCCCAACCTGCGCCATTATTTACAAACCCGAGCGTCAAGAAACCACAACACAGCTGCTCAGTATGTTTATATCTCATTTATTTTTCTTTTTTTTAAAACTGTTTTGTTTTTTTTTAAATTTGTTGTTTCAAATGTGATCGCTGCAAAGTCGACCACAAGCGTCTGAAAACAAAATAAAATAAAAATAATTGTGATTAATCTCATCACTTCGAACACGCTGCAAATGCGTTAATGCATAAAATAGCCGGGTGGTAGTGGGTTGGTGATGTAAGGGAGGGAGGGGTGGGGAGGACACAGAGGGTATATAAAATCAATTCTAATACCACTAATAGTTTACAGAAAGAGGCAGGTTTAACGGGCACCAAATACACGAATGCAACAATGCAATGATAGGAATGATTTCGCTCTCATTTATATATATAGATATATATATATATATATAAAAGTCAGTGTTGCCACCAGGAATTCTTGCACAGAGGCGCACTAAAGCACTCTGAAGAAGCCAGTACTTTTGAAGTGTCCCTCAAGTTACGTCTAAAACGAGTCCCTGTGACCAGCCTGGCCTACTCCCTCCAGAGATAACCCGAGATTCCCAGCAGAAACTGTACATATTGAATAAGCTCCGGGTATTTTATAACTTTTTTTTGGGGGGGGGGGGGAAGAAACACAGAATCCCCACCTTTATTCAGAGAAAAGGGGGCTTCGCTCGTGAAATATCCTTCTCTTCATGGTAACTCAAACCCTAGTGACAAGAGAGATTGCCTTTTATTTTTGAAAATAAACACCAGTAGTCACGTACACAATAAGTTTGTACTTAGGGGATCTCTTTGTAAATCAGCAGAGTCCACAGTTACTTCAATGAGAGAAAAAAGTTTCTTTTTTACTGCCTTGAAAAGTATTGTACGCGTCACACAAAGTTTAAACCCCGCGGTTCTAAGCAGAGTCCTTGTAGAAAAGCTTAGTTTTAAAAATAAAGCCAGAACAACCTTCCAAACCCAACGGAATTTTTCTCCCTAGTATTCCTTTATAAAACATCTCAACTTTAAAAAAAAAGCTGACGAGGAGTTAAAATCCAGAGGGTGGGGAATCTTGGAGATCAGACTTACTGCTTGGGTAAAAAAACTCCGTCTAAAACTTCACCCCCGAGCCACACAGCAAATTCAGGTCGCAAACTGCAAATCCTCCCAAAAGATGAGCTAAAACCTCAGCAACAGTTTACTGCCAAGAATCCTCGGAGCTGCCGAGTGAAAGGTTGGATGGACTTTTTTGTTCCCCAACCGCACCAAATAAAAGGATTGATTACCTGGAAATGTATTACATATTATAATATTGTGTCGGGTAGTCGGTTGTAAATTGAGCCAAAAGGCTAGAAGGAGAATTTAGAAATCCACGAGCAAGTTTTGCACTGGGATCTAAATCAGATCATTAAACAAAAGTCAAGCACCTAAAGAGGAATAGAAAGGAGACAGACATTGTGCTGAGAGTAGGGGACCGCAGGCAGAAGACAAGGGCGAACGCCTCCAGTTTCCAGGGAGATAGCAAGAACTGCCGATGTTGGAGTCAAAGACAGCAGTGTGGAGCTGGAAGAACACAGCAGGCCAGGCAGTATCTGAGGAGCAGGAAAGTTGATGTTTCGGGTCTGGACCCTTCAGAGGGGTGCTCCTCTGATGACCTGTTGTGTTCCTCTAGCTCCATACTGCGTTGCCTCCAGTTCCCTTTCTGAGCTGGCCATACTCACCCGAAACAGGGACTTGCCTTCACCAATGCAGCGCTGCCTCTTTCACTGCCGGGGACAGCAGTGTGAAAGGACTGAGAGGAATCGCTCTTTACTCCCTCATTTCAACTCGGGCAGAAGGTTGAACGAAGAGCTGCTCAGTCAAGTTGAATGCGGAGAAATGGCCGAGCTCCGCTGCTTTTTATAGTCAAGAGAGATATTTTGACAAACGCCTGCAGCAGATTTTGTTCAATTTGATTGGAACCGAGTACGGGGTGTGGAAGTGAAAGGAAAATCAAAATTCTTTTAGCGTGCTATTCGAAAGAAACCCCCCATCTCTGTCTATTTTGCTTCTGAACAGCTAACAGTTAACGTGAGAAGATGACATTGTAAATGTGCTATTCAGATTTTAAACAGCAGCCCTTCTAAAGTTTTCAAGAAGATTTCGAGCAGCTCTCCTGCTGGGGGCAGGGCCCAGTCTGATGCAAGGGGTTTAGTCTTCCCTGTCACTCTATGGTACAGTTTATTTTAAACTTCCGGTCGAAGCTTATGGAAGGGAAGTTGGCTGCTATTACATACACATGGGCATTCAACAGGGTTCAATACTGACTGTTCGAATACTGCATTTTCAGCTATTGCTGTTCATTGATTCAGAGGGTGAGCTTTTAGGGGAAGGAAAAGTTTTTTCAGTGCATTTTTCTAAATATATCACACTCCTACAAAACAAACCATTCCATTTGTGGTAAGACAGTGGACTATTTGGCTTTTAACAAGGTCAGGTTATGGTCATCAGCCACTCTCAAACTGGACAATAGGGCAGACTGGTACTACAGGCAGCAGCTGGATTCCTCACCAGTGGTTTCCATTCATCATCCCAATCTCACTTCTCTAACCACTCCTTTTAATTAAGAAACATTTCTGATGTAATAAAACCAGCATCATTCCAAGCTCTGAAAAATCACAGTTACAAAGTGCAGGAGTTGCAACTCTTGTCTTTTACAGTGCTTAGCTGTTTATTGTAAAACCAATATAGGAAATAAACCTGTCAAAGTAATAATACCTTACATGGGTCCTCTTTAATCCATTCTTGACTTTAGACTGAACAGAACTCGACTGTAACATCATGCAATGGTGGTGCAAGTTAGGTTTCACAGATTCCATTCATTTGGTTAATACTATTTTTAAACTACATGCAATATCCATAATACAAATTCTTCTTTCACCACTGGGGAGGATGTGTGAATATATTCAAGCTATACACAGCACCAAAGAGAGAGAGAGATAGTTGCAGGGGATGGCAGTGAGGGTGTAAGAGGAAATAAAGATGGGGGGTGGTGGGTAGGGGAGGTTAATTGAACAAAGCAGCACTTTTAACAAGAGACAAAACTTGTGGAACCCAGGAGTGTTAATGTAAAGTGGAATTCTTAAGATAAAGGTCACTCTGTTCTCTCTCCCCTTCTGAATTGCACATGGACGATTCCTCTCCCAGCCTGCAAAACTCTTAATAGACCCATCTTAAGAGCAACAAACACACTGTCTCAAACACGTAGCAACTTGTGAAGAATCTTCAGTAATCAGCACCTCACTGTGCCGAAATGACAAACGTCAAATAGCAATAGAGTGGTCGGGGCCATGAAGCAATTTCAGAGAAAGCAAATTCCAAAGAGCGGAAACAGTGAAATTCTCAGCCTTCAGCCCACTCTCCACAGTCCTACACTTCAAGACAACATTTGTCGTTAAAACTAATGTGTGGGAAATTCTGGCAGCCCATAGGTTAAAAGGTACAACGTAGTGCAGTCTGAAACAATGGTAGCTGTAGAGCTAAATTGCACAGTGTATGTTTCTCTGTCATGCAGCAATAAAGCAGGAACTGGAAGAAAAAAAAACTGATCAATCCCCTAGCAAATGGCCCATTAACAAGTCAATTAACGTCTACCCAGACTCTTAAGTCAACATTAACCTATCTTTTCCATCAGAAATCAGAAGTCAAGAATAATATCTAGTAAGCTGTGGAAGAGTAGAGTTACCCAGGTTGCCTACCTGGCGAATAGTGGGGAGCTACCCTGCTTGAGAATTTGAGTACTTGTCCAGTGGAAAATAACTTGTCAATAAGGTCTTTAAGCAAAAGGGAGATTGCAACTTTCCTTATCCCAGGAAAATGAAGGAACAGGCAGTGATCTCTAGACTGGTGCTCAAGACTGGTTCACATCCCTTGTGGGAATTGCATGTCAGCTCATTCTTACATTTTAGATGACACTCGGTCTTGGCAGCCAAGACCATGAACTGACAAATCTGAAAACCAGGCAAGGGCAGCAACAGTCTGATGCGTGCAAACAAAAAGGTTACAGGACCATGTTATCACCCTTTAGACTCTGATTAATATGGACAACAAGAGAATATTTAACAGTGCCCGATATACCAAAGGCAGAATTAAAGACACGTCTGAAAAATCTCCCTCCAAAAGTAGTGTAAGCAAGGTACCACGCATGATTTGTATAAGATCTGTCATCATCACCAGCTGATTGAACGGTTCCATTAACACATTTGCTCTAAAATGAATCAGCGCCTCTGCCGTTCTCCATGCCCTGTGATAAGTCTGTGGGGTCCATTTCCGATGGATTCTCTCTAGAGATTTCTTCTGTTATGACAAACCCGAGTGGAGCACCAAACCTGATACTGGCATAAAAAACCAAAAAAAGAGGGATCTAGCTCATAGACACCTTTTTAAAGCTTCAATACTATTTGGCCAATAATATAATAAATTGGAAAGTAGATGCCATCTTGAGGTTCACATGAGTTACTGAAAGTGTGAAACTGGGGATATACATCTTTGGAGCTGCCAGTGATAGTGGGCTAATGGCTTGGTCAGGGAATGGACACAATGATGCAATTGAGAACTGCGGTTGTTTGAGTACATCATTCCCCACTGGAGGAGCATAATCGAGAGGTAAGGAAAAGTACATTTTAACTAATCACCAATCTTCAGTCAGTCAGACTGGATAGAACCCTCAACTCCTGTCCATCTTCAAATCATTGGGCTACCTTGAGCAAACGGGCAGATGTATAAATGTGGGTATTTACATACCAAACTTCAAACTTGCATGCAGAAAAAGCAAAGTTGGTATATCAGCCATTATGACTTCAAATGGAAGTGATCAAAATGCCAACTGAACTTTCCTATTTGAAGTGATCATCCAAGCCTCTGTGTCTAATCCTCCCTTTCCCAATATAATAGCTGTACTTTGTTCTTCTATTCCCATTTGGGAATTTTGTACTTATAGTTGGGAAAGAGAGAGAATAACAGTCCTTTCTGAAGCGTGAGCCAACTTCACACTGCCCAAACTACATCTCAATAATTGGTTTAGGGAGGGAAAAGTGCACCTTGCATTACCAGTGACTTCATTCACACATCCAAACCCATATCCAAGTCACAATATGCAAAATCATCATTCTTGTCCTGGACCCCTATCCTGACTCCCAAAGCATACAGTATTTTCCAAACTTGATTTGCATCCAATTAACACCATCACATTTACTTGAAACAATTCAAAAATGGGACCAGTGTTGACATTAAAAGGAACGGTCTCTTAATAAAAGTTACTATACTTTTGTTTCCAGACATGCTAAAAGGTACCAAAATTGTCACAAATCATATTTTATTACCCCACACTGGGTATAAAGAGGACTGTGTCTTTGGTTATCTTTTCCATGACTATTTTCTATCCTGATGATTTTTCCGAAGATGTCCTGCAAGCTGGATTCACAGTATTGGGTCCATCATGTCACAAAGAGTCACAAGGAAGAGCAGATGAGATTCCTTGCAACTCCCATTTTCTAATCTTAAAGCACAATTTCTTCTGAATGTCATAACCCTTTAGCTTTGCTCTATTTTTTTCAGAAAACCATTGCAGTTTCTTTTCCCAATGGATCTGGGGCCTGTAGGACTTTATCTGTGTAGCTCAGCACTTCTATAATCAAGAGCGTCTTTGCTTGTTCATACATCTGTGGCAGACACTGGAGGCCATCACTATTATAAGTGTCTGCTTGTTACTCATATTACAAAATAGTGCAATGTTTCAAAAGTGTTCATAAATAACTCCAAACCCCCTTTTTTAATATACAGAAATGTTTAGAGACACACTGAGATGGCACTCCAAAAATTGCCAATTCTCTCCTCTAGGAACGAAACAAAAAAAGTCATTTTCGTATAGGCCATTTCTATTACAAAAATACTCCTGCCTCCACATGCAGTTTTCTCATTTGACATATTGCAGGTTCTTCAAACATAAAATTTTGTGCAAATGTTTCTTTAAAGTTAAGTGAGATAATTAAAGACAGCATTTTACATACATTGCTTAAACTAAGGTCTCTTTTTAAAGTAACACAGAGATTTGGAACTTCCTTATCTAATGTAGCTCAGTAGAACTACCTGAAGCCTTATGCTTGATGTTCAATTCAGATGTGATATAGCTAAGTATTAACTTTATACAATTGGAAGGGGGTGGGTGGGGGGAGCAGGGGAGGAAGGAGGAGCAAGTGCGGCTGACAATGCTCTCCCACTCCCCGCTCACCTGGGCCCCCTGGTTTGAGTTGAAGTGCACAGAGTGGGTCTCAGAACGGATGCCCGGTCTTTTTGTCTTTGCTGTTCCGGATAACTGTACTCTCAAGGCCATGGTTCTGAGGATGCTGCAGTCTGTTGCCTCCCATCACAGAAAGGACGCCATGGTTCTGCTGGTGCTGGAAAAAGGTTGATCCAGGGTAGTGACCTATGACTTCATTGTAAGTGGGCGGGGGTCCTTCCATTCGGCCATTATTGCTGTAGCTGGTAGCGCTGATGCCAGAGTTACTGCTGGGCGGGCAGGGCCCACTGTTGTAAATGGATGTGTCTATCAGGTCGCTGTCAAAGATAGTCCTGTTCGGGGGTGCTCGGACCGACTCACGGTTCAGTTCCATCTGCTGCTCGGGGTCACGGAGCTGGAGGGTACACGGCCCCTGGTACGGAGGGGGTTCCTCACCGTCTGACAGAGAGATGGTGGGGGGCAGGTCAATCTCATGCTGCAGGTATGGGTAAGTGGGCTGGAAACGACTAAACCGATCTCGCTGTAGGAAAGACGGGACCGTCAATCTGTCTGTCGACCTGGGTGTGTAGATCTGCTGCTAAAAGAACAGAAAGACACAGTCAGTCAGTTACCCCCACAACAGCTTCTTATGGTTATGGCATTGGCAAGGTCTGCCACAAAAAAAAGCATCCAAAATTAAAACTAGGATGTAAAAATCTGTCAAACTCTCTAATTTAAGGCAATTGAGATTTCAGTTATCTGGGGCAAAGGTGAAAACAACTGAACTTGCAATTCTACACCATCTGTCATGACCTTGTGACAGCCCAACACACTTTAAACACAAAGTAACGTTTCTTTGGAAGTGTACATAATGGGGAAAATGCAACTGCTAACTTGTGCACAGCAAGATTCCAAAACCAATATCATAAAAGGTCAGAAGTGGGGATGTTCAGTACCATTTGCGACTCATCACATACTGAGCGCAGTCCATGTTCAAATTCAGCAAGACTGGACAATATCCAGGCTTGGGCTGACAAGTGGCACGTAACATTCATGCTGCACAAGTGTAGGGCAATGACCATCTCCTGTAAGAAACAGTCTAACGACTGCCTCTTGACAATGGCAATACCATTGTTCAGTCCCCCACATCAACATCCTGGAGGTTACAATCAACCAGAAACTGAACTGGACTAGTCATAAGTACTGTGGCTACAAGAGAGGTCAGAGACTAGAATCAGAACTCACCTCCCGACTTCCCAAAGCCTGAAGAGCTTATATCAGTGTTTTACTGATGTTGGTTGAGATAAAGTATTGGCTAGGGCACTGGTGAGATTTCCCATGTTCTTCTTTGAATAATACAATCACATTGTTAATGTTCACTGGGCTGGGGGTGGTGGCGAGTTAGCTGCTGTGACAGTGCAGTCTATAACACTCCTCTCATACTGCACTGGAATTTCAACATAAGAATACAAAATCTATGTACTGGAATGAGGCCTGAACATTCTCCTGCCTCACAGGCAATGCTACTAACTTCGGAGACAGGGGAAACACTGGGACTGAATGGGCAGCTGTCTTGCTTCTAATCAAAGATCAATGCTTGCTGTTCTGTGCTGGGTGAAGGTTTTATAGAGCTTCAGGCTTGAACTAACGTCACCAAGGGCACTTGCTCTGCATGAAGTATTGGTCAAAGTAAAACTACTGATGTTGCTGCATTCACTGCCATCTCCTCCACAGTCTGCAGACCTCACCCCCACATATGCTACCCAGCCACCGTGATCACTGTCTGTGCACACACAGAACAATGTCGCTGAAGACAGATGCTAAAAGCCACAAGCACCAGATACAAGCATTCCTGGATTAGCTGTAATTCCCTTATACCCGCTTCACCTACTCCAGGTACTAATTATAATTATCTTGCCTCAGTACAGGGTGCTGTCAACACGAAACCTCATTCCTCACAATTTGAAGCTGAATACATGATTGCATACAGTTTTGCATTTGCCGAGTCTGATGAGTCAGTGCAGCGTATTTGCTGAGACAGTCTAAAATAAAGTTCTCTATCTATATTTATGGAATCCACAGGCTCAGCCCAGGGTGTGAAGGAGGGAGATAGTCTCCCCAGTGCTCTGGCCAATATTTAATCATTCAATCAACATAATTTAAAACGGATTATCTTGTGGTGCATGGGAGATGATAGACTGGAACGTACAATTAGGTGGAAGTGAGGATTAGACCTTGCAGGCTTACCTCCAGCATTCCTCTTGCTGACACTGTGCTGTCTGAAGGCCAGAGGCCTCCCTCCTACACAATGAAGCAGGGTGATCAACACCAACCTATAGCTTTGTGAAATAAATAATAAATACAAAATATAATCAGAAGCCAATCAGCACTGTCTTGAGTAGCAACAGTCCTGTAATATCACACTAACCAATAATGATCGGCCTGCAATACTCTTAATTCATTGACCAGCTGCTACCACAGTGTGTCAATGACCTGTCTCGGCCAGGCCTCCAGCCTTCGGAGGTATAGCCAAAGCCAAGAAAAAATAATACAATATCAGGCTTGGTGCTGTGGCACCATTCCGGCCCCCAGACTCTCAGCATTGTGCATGCATCATCTTTCAGGCGAATCATTACTAAAAGCTCCATCCGCAGGTCAAGTGTCTCAACTACGGTTGACCAAAAACTAAAAAGAAACAGCTGCAAATCATGGATTTGGGTGATTATTAGGGGAGTATGATAACTCACTAGCCTGCTATTGTTAATTAATTAAATTAACATTAAATAATTATAGACTCAGACCAGACGGTGCTGGTTTTGAGACACTGCTCTTGTACTAACGCGTGGGCACGAAAAAAAATTCCATTGCACACTATGAATTAATTCAACAGCATTTCTCCCAGGGCTTTTGCCAATAACTATCCTTCAAGTACCAGCCTTAAACAAAAAAAAATTATCTGGTTTGTTTCACATTGTTGCTTATGGGAATATGCTGTGTGTAAACTGACTGCCGTGTTTCCAACATTACAATAGTGACTACGCTAGAGAAAACAAGTGGTTGTGATGGTGAAGAACTGAGAAACACTTGATTTTACTATTTATGATCAGAATGTCGACACCTGGGACTGCATTTCAGGCATTGAGACTGTTAGATGCAGAAGAGTAACATGTAGGGCAAAGTTCTTGTAACTCTGCATGAACCTACTCCAATAGTTTGACAATTCCTATTTCTCCATATCAGCTACTGTGGGGCCAAATTTCACACAGAAATTAGCGTGGGTACAATTTTAATTGTTAATTCACTCATGGGTTGTGGGTGTTACTGGCTAGCCAGCATTTGTTACCCTTCCTTCATTGCAAAGGTGGTGGTGAGCTGCCTTCTTGAACCACTGCAGTCCACATGCTGTAGGTAGACTCACAATGCCCGTAGGGAGGGAATTCCAGGGCTTTGACTCAGTGACTATGAAGGAACAGCAATCTTGGCCTGCTGTGTTCATCCAGCCCTGCACCTTGTTGTCTCATATATTTCCAAGTCAGGATGGTGAGTGGCTTGGAGAGGAACTTGCAAGAGGTGGTATTTCATTATATCGGCTGCCTTTGTCCTTCTGTATGGAAGTGATTGTGGGTTTGGAAGGTGCTGTCTGATGATGTTTGATGAATTTCTGTTCTCCAATTTCCTTTAACCACCTTTATAAGCTATTCTTAAACTGCAGCATGGTCAATGCTTCGTTTTAAATGACAGTAGTATATTCCATAGCCTAATACTCTGGATCTTATATTGAATTGAGCCCTCTATCCATGCCCAAGACTAGATAACACATTTTTCACTGAATCAGGAGCTACACTGGAGTCCCAAGTCCCCTAGAAAGTGAGCAGTGTCTAATCCAAATTGGAAAAAAAAGAGAACACCAGGGGGGCTGGGGGTGGGTGGGAAAGAGGAGAAAGAGAAGGGACTGAAGGAGGGCAAAAGAAAGAAAGAAAGAAAGAAAATGAAGAAGAGTGTGAATGAGAGCATGTTAATGAGTGAGAGTCACACAATGTTCTAACACAAGACTCGATTGTTTTGTTCATTGTATTATCCAGATAGGAAGGCATGTTCTCGAACTATTGAATAGATCTATATAAGTAGGTTTTCTACTCCCCATGCTGACAATAAAATGAATCCTAAATGAGACAGGATACGATGTTGAACACAAGAGCTCGGTTGGGAGAAGAGTGAACCTGGGTGCAAACACTGCATTTTTCAGGCCTTTTACTTTAAGAAAAGCTAAGTAACTATGTCTTGGCACAGAGTCAGCAGAATAAACTCTCACTTTAGGCTTCCTGCATCAACCACTACCTATTCAGTGAGAAATCCTCCTTCCCCAACAATATATGTTGGTTACTGTTGAGTGTCTGTAAACTTAGGGATGTAGTACTTAGAACCCAAAGACTTTACAGCAGACCCACTAAAACACATGCCCAAACGAGCTTCAGATACGCCAGCAAATTAAAACTAAAACCACAAACATAACTGGCTGCAACATTCATACAAATGGCTGGCAAAATAACAGTAAGTTAATGTCTTATTTACCAATCTCATCTCAAGCCCCACTCCCCTAGCACACCTCCCAATGTAAAAAGGTATGACGAGTTAACTCTGACTCTGATTTGCTAATGAAACAATACACATCAAAAGGGTTGATGCAGTGACCTTGCTCTCTCTCGCAGCTTTGTGGCAAGATTGGTTTTATATTTGTTCATGGGATGTGCACGTCACTGGTCAGGCATTCATTACCCATCCTGAATTGCCCAGAGGGCTGTTCCATGTTGGTGTGGGTCTGCAGTCACATATAGGCCAGAACAGCAGAACAGGCAAGAACAGACTCCCTTCCAGAAGTACATTAGTGAACCAGATGGTTTATTTTGGACATGGTAACCATTAGCCTAAATTTTTTACTTCAATAAAAATCTAGAATTTTAAACAAAAAAAGTTGGACTAATGGTGGCCACGTAACCACTTTTGATTGTTGCAAAAACCCACCTGGTTCACTAATGTCCTTTAGGGAAATTTCCTTACCCAGTCTGGCCTACAGACCCACAGCAACTCTTAACTGCCGTCTGGGCAATTAAGGATAGGCAATAAAATGCTGACCTAGCCAGCAACACCCTCACCCTGTGAACAAATCAGAAAAAAAATATGCAGCAAGAGGTTTCTTAAATAAAGCTAATGCATTCCTCATCTCAAAGATTTTTCTGGCAGTACAATGAGACCAAGAATATTACATCCCCCCACCACCTCACCCTTCCCATCATATATTCACACGTTTGTGAGAATGTGGGAAATTGAAAAACTAATCACAATACATGTTCAACCAAGCAAAAAGATGGTTAAGAGGAAGCTGGTCAGCAAGTCATGGTGAAAGGAAGAATCTGAATGTGCTGACCAATTCCTACCCATATAAAGGAAGCCTGAATATTCTTTTACACCATTCATGTTCTTCATAGACCCTCAGGGAACACAATTATTTCTGAAAAAGCAGATGTGGAGTGCTCACAGACCAGATTATGAATAACTAAGCCATTATAATAAGCAATGGCTAATTGTTTCCTGTGTCTCCAGTAGATGACACCATTGCACCAAGGTTGTAGCTATGGAGCCAGATTATGGGAGGCAGAGACGCAGTCTGGAGATGACTAGGCTACAGAGTGGTGATGTGCAGATGCAACTGTGAACAGGCTGTTCAGCGTTTAACTGAAGTTCTGCTCCTTTTCTCAGTGTCTGTGCCTCAGGAGTATTAAGTGAAAAGGTCATCCAGTCACTGAAAGGTGTTACATCAACTCCTATTTCCAAGCATATATCCCACCCAGCCTCCTAAGTCGGTGACAGGATAATTGGGTCACATGGTGGAAGGCTGTCAGTGAAACTGCCTTAAATTGACTGAAAAGCAGCCGACGTGGACAGAATAATTTCACGTTGCACTGAGGGAATCATTGTCCAGACATTATGGGCGGCTGTAACTGTAATGACACTGCAGAAACAACCACGTCACCCGTGCCAAAAGTGCACTGCTCAGGGCACTCGTGGTGCAGTGGTAGTGTCCCTACCTCTGAGCCAGGTGGCACAGGTTCAAGTCCCACCTGCTCCAGAGGTGTATAATAAAACATTTGAACAGGTGGATGAGAAAGATTCCTTCAAGTCCCACCCGGGCTCTTGAGGTGCAGTGGTCATGTCCCTGGTCCTGAAAGGTCAGGTTCAGATCCTGCACCATGGATGCGTCATAACCCATCTGCACAAGCTGATTAAAAGTGCTCTCTACATTCACATGGTAAGCACGGGTGCTCACCAGATCTTCACTGTAAAATAGTTACCATACTGGGACAGCTTCTCACACAGATCTGTCACATGTCTGGCTCTAACATAAAAACCTGTGATGCTTTGGTGACAAGTTTGCTAAAGTTCAATTATTCCATTCAGCTCAGGCTTCGTTGCTAGGAAGCAACTTAGGGAGCAGTTTGTGTTGAGCCTGGTAGAAGCCCAACAATCCCCATTTCTCAGAATGGCTATTTCTCAAACAGAGTCACCTGTGTCTGCAACATCCCAGCACATTTCTCTTTGAAGGCAATGACATGGAAAGCAGGTTTGAAGCCCGACTGTCCAGTATTAGTGTGTTAAAACTTTCAGACATATACAAATTCCTGAATATCATAGAATCCCTACAGGGTGGAAGCAGGCTGTTCAGCCCATCACCTCCACACTAATCCTCCAAAGAGCATCGCACCCAGCCCCAGCCCTACCCTACTCCCATAACCCTGCATTTCCCATGGCTAACCCACCCAGCCTGCACATCCCTGGACATTATGGGCAATTAGCATGGCCAATGCAACCAACCTGCACATCTTTGGACTGTGGGAGGAAACTGGAGCATCCGGAGGAAACCCACACAGACATGGGGAAAACATACAAACTTCACACAGACAGTCACCAGAGGGTGGAATCAAACCTGGGTCCCTGGCGCTATGAGGCAGCAGTGCTAACCACTGAGCCACCGTGCTGCCTGTCACACAGGGTTCATAATCAAAGAACAAAGACAGTTTAAATCATTTCCAATTTGCAGAGAAACATCTTCACCATCATAGAATCCCTACAGTGTGGAAACAGGCCCTTTGGCCCAACAAGTCCACACCGATCCTCAGAGCATCCCACCCAGACCCATCCCCCTATAACCCACCTAATCTACACATCCCTGAACATTATGGGCAATTTAGCATGGCCAATCCACCTAGCCTGCACATCTTTGGACTGTGGGAGGAAACCGGAGCACCCGGAGGAAACCCACACAGACACGGGGAGAATGTGCAAACGCTGCACAGACAGTCGCCCAAGGCTGGAATCGAACCCGGGTCCCTGGCACTGTGAGGCAGAGTGCTAACCACCGTGCTGCCTGTGCCAGAAAGCATTGTTTGAGTTGCTTCAGGATTCACACTGACAAAGAACAGATAATGGAGACCAACTAACTGAAATTAGCTTCAAATCAACCAGGAAGACCCCAGCTTATTAGAGTGACTCCAGGGAGACGCTTCATGGTCCCTGAAGGAATGGTCATGGCTCAGGATTCCTTGGCCAGCTTGTCCGAGCAGATTTCAAGCTGCATCAAGATGTATTTGCTCTTCAACATAAACCGATCAGAAGTCAATTATCATTCGAATCCACATGGAAGTGCGGATGTGGAAAAAAAGGCAGATTCATATTAACCCGAGGGTGAGGTGGGAACTTGCTTTTCTCGGGGACTCAAACAAGGGTGAGCGCCATTTAACAACATCTGGTTATCCAAAGACTGGGATTAGAAATTAAAATTAAAAACCTTTGTAATTTAAGTTGGAGGCTGTGAGAACAGCAGGGCAAAGTGTCACAAGTTCATCCAAAACTGTAAAAGGGAGGAGAACAGTATCCCCACCAGGACCAGGGCAGGAAGCAGAATGGCTGCACGACTGCACTCCGTAGAATGAAGCAAGACCGTACATGCACGTGTGCTCCTGATTTTTGCAACTCCATATGAACTGACATAACACTGAATATATCAGGAGTCCTCGCATCACAGCGCAAGTTCCCACATTTTAGCCAGACTGTGGGTAAAAGGCTCCTGGAATCAAGCATTGCCTGGTCTCTAGCTAACTGAACGCACGGATTAAAGGAAAACACAACTATGTTTGTGGCTATACTCCTGAAGACCACTGGATACACAATGGAAACTCGACGTGACAGCAGGAAACTTAACAGTGTAAAGGGCACTGCCATCTCCAATTGCCAAGTACTTGACCTGTGATCAATTTGATTTAGTTAATGAGGACACCACTTCCATTATAGATTTCTGAGTGTACTGTTGTACTTCAGAAAGCTGTCTACTGCTGAGGTGCAGAATTGGGTAGAAACTTGGCTGTGTTTGTTCTTTCTCCAAGGATAAGGAGACGGAGGTGACAATCTGGTGTTTCTCGATAGACAGTGGAGTGTGCACTACCCCCATTGAGCTGTCTCCTCCTGCTGGTTATTTTTCCAAAGTGACAAGCCAGGTACAGTGGAGGCACTGACTCACCTGCTTTCACTTCTTGATACAGTGAGAGATACTTGTCACTCACACACCAGAAAGTCCTGCCTGAGGGCCCAGATACCAAGGAGCCATCATCTATCTACTGTGCCCACCTCAGCGCTGATTAACGGAACTGTCACATTGACCAATTCCTACCGTGTAAACAGAACGGGACTCTCTGATGAGGTCATTTGTACCCCTCAGGTTATCGAGAGGAGGCTGTTTTTAAACGCAGGAACTCTAGTATTTAGATCACTTTTCGATTTCACTATGCACAAGAGCAGGATAAATTTGTGCCCACCCATCTGTGAATGTTCTACACACCTTCCTGTTCCAGACTCTCTGCTAAATCTCACAGCTTGTGTATAACACACCCAGACATGGGTCAGTGCAGGGTGGGAGGGGGCAGCAGACGAAAAAGTGATGATGGCCAGATTGTACTGTACACCAGTACAGGGAGGCAGTGGCCTAGTGATACTATTGCTGGACTGTTAATCCAGAGACCCAGATAATGTTCTGGGGACCCAAGTTCAAATCCCACCACGGCAGATGGTGGAATTTGAATAAAATATCTGGAATGAAGAATCTAATGATGACCATGAATCCATTGTCAATTGCTGGGAAAAACCCATCCGGTTCACTAATGTCCTTTAGGGAAAGAAACTGCCATCTTTACCTAGTCTGGCCTCCATGTGACTCCAGACCCACAGCAATGTGGTTGAGTCTTTAAAAAACCGTCAGGGTAATTAGGGATGGGCAATAAATGCTGTGTGGACAGCGACGCCCTCATCCCATTAATGAATAAAAAAAAGACCAGTCAGCAGCATCTCACTAACCAACACCACCTATTGAGATGAGTTTTGCAGTGACATGCAGGGTGGCATTGAGGCCACATTACAAGTCCTTTGCATGCCATCCATGCTTTGGTTCCTTTCTGGCAAACCAGGGCAGCAGACTGTTGCCCTCTCCACTCTGTTCGCTACAGCATTTCTCAGAGGTCCAGGCTGGAAAGGGAATGGGATGTGTGAAGAAGAGGTCTGAGTGAGCGAGAGAGTTTAGGGAGTGTGTGAAGGTGAGCAAGCATTAGCCTAGACAGTGTTGAAGAGATATCAAGTTACACAGGGAACCACAATTCAGATCTTATCCAGTCTAGATCGCTCTCCTTGGCGCCACTCTACACAGACTCCTACTTACACACACACAATTTTCAGAGACCAAGAGCAACATAATTGGCCTATTTTAAACCTCACTCACAGGGATGAGGTGCCAAATACACTGCAGTCAGGGTGCAAACAGCTCTGTCTGGGGGTGGGAGACTAAACAGAGGGAATGCTGCTCTGTCAGAAACAATGCCTAATTGGTGGAGACAATGACTGAGAAGCTCCATTTGCCCTCAGTGGTGGATGGGGAAGATCCCTAGGCGCTTTTTCAAAGGAGAACGGGGAAGGTTCTCGCTCAGTGCCCTGGGCCAGATGTGTTCTGCCACCAAGGTCAGCAAATGGGCATTTGTGGGGCTTTCCTGTGCCAACTCTGGCTGCCAGCATTTCCGACATTGTTAAGGGACTCAATTTGTAACAAAGCACTTGGAGATGGAGGGTGTGAATGATGCCACTTAAATGTGATTTACTCCTTTCATTTCCTGCTAATGCACAGATCATCCCATGCATTGAAGTAAATCCTCCAACTAGCCATGATGGGTTTTAACCTCAGGACCAGCGCACTAACCAGCAATCTACTGGACCCAAATGATGATTTTCAAAAGTGTAGTCTGCTTCTTACCGACTGTAATGTATCTTCTTGCCTCCTGATGTGGCTCTGCCTGTTTATTAAAGACCGTGTGGAGAGCTTGTAGTGGTTAAGCAGGCAGGTAATCACCACGACCATCACAATCATCACCACCACTATCACAATGATCTGGACAAACTCCAACTCGGCTGCAACAGAACAACAAAAACAAAACAGGCAACATGAGACTGCAGACAGATAAGATCATCAAAGAGGACAGCAAACCCACACCAAGGGAACCCACCATACACAGTCACACAGCACAGAAACAGACCGTTCGGTCCAACCAGCCCATGCCGACCATAACTACAGACTAAACTAGTCCCACCTGCCTGTGCTTGGCCCGTATCCCTCCAAATCTTTCCAATTCATGAACTTATCCAAATGTCTTTTAAATGTTGTTAACTTTACCCGCATCCACCACTTCCTCTGGAAGTTCATTCCACACACAAACCACTGTGTTAAAAAAAAAACAAAACTGCCCCTCATGGTTTAATAACTAACAAATCTAGAAGTAAGCCCGAATGTCAGGAGCAGCTGCAAGATCCACGTTACTCTCAGTCCATCATTCTGGGAAAGCCAACTGTCAGATGGAGACGGATTGATGCAGATTGGAAAATTAAATAGCTCAGTTACAAAGTGTTCAGCGACTCCCAGGCTGCCTGTCACAGCAGTGCCCGAGCTGATGGAAAATGGTCACAGGACCCTCCGAGGTGGGCTGTGAGCTCTCCACTACCTGAGTGAAGGAGCTATTATCGTAACTCTGTTGTCACCCAGAAAATGGCCAGTGGAGAGAGATCGAGCAGCAGGTATCCTCTGATGGTTTCTGTTTGCCTGCACTGGATGCAAGGGGAACTGCTGAGGGGCTGCAGCGAGACCTTTTTCAAAAAAAAAGTGCCGGACTAGGTGGGCAGTGCACGTGCAAGCTGGGGTTTTCAGAGTGGTCCCTTTAAAATGGATGGATATTTTCCGTTTCAAGGCAGCAGTTTCCCCAATACCAGCCACAAAACATTTCAATTTTAAATTTGGAATGGTGGTAGGGGTGGGGGCACAGGAGCACGACAGCTCGCGTTTATGCGGTGCTGTCAACCGAGCTAAACATTACAAGGTTCCTCCAGAGCAATCAGACATCAAAACTGTAGAAATATGGGAGCAGGCCATTCGGCCTTTCGAGCTTGTTCCACTAATCACTACGATCATCCAACTCAGTCCCGTTTCTATTTTCTCCCCATATATTTGATGGCTTTAGTCCTAAAGAACTATATCTATCTTCTTCTTGAAAACATTCAGTGTTTTGGCATCAGCTACATTCTGTGGCAGAGAGCTCCCCAGGTTCACCACTCTGGGCGAAGACATTTCTTCTCATCTCAGTCCTAAATGGCTTACTCCTTATCCTTAGACTGTTCAACCCTGGTTCTGGACTCCCCACCCAAAGGAACATCCTACTTGCATTTACCCAGTCGAGTCCTGTTAGAATTTCATAGGTTTCTATGAGATTCCATCCCCGGCCCGCCCAATTCTTCTAAATTCCAGTGAATACAGTCCTAACTCACTCAGTCTCTCTCCATACGTCAGTCCTGCCATCCCAGGAATTAGCCCAGTAAACCTTCACTGTACTCCCTTTGTTGCCAGAACATCCTTCCTCAGATAAAGGAGGCCAAAACTGCACACAATACTCCAGGTGTGGTCTCACCAAGGCCCTGTATAACTGCAGCAAGACATCCCTGCTCCTGTACTCAAATCCTCTCGCTATGGAGGCCAATATACGATTGGCCTTCCTCACCACCTGCTGTACCTCCACACTTACTTTCAGCGACTGGTCTCATTGCCCTTTCCCAATCTACTGCCATTCAGATATTAATCCGCCTTCCTGTAAATTGAAGCGATATTAGCTCAGGCAGCCAAGAGCTTGGTCAAAGAGGTTATATTTTAAGGAAATCTTCCAGGCCAAGAGCAGGACTTGGGGATGGGGACACCTGGCTTGATGACGATGATTTATTGTCACTTGTACTCTACAATGAGTAGAGCAAGACAGTAAAATACACAGTGAAAAACTGCAACTGCCACCTCAATCCGGCACCATTCAAATACTTCAAGAATGAAAAAGATAAAGCTGAAAGAAAGTACACTGCCTCCACCGTCAGCCCTGAGCTGGCTAACCACACCCATGCCAGACCCACCAATGCTGGAGTCCCAACTCTTCAGGTGCCATTTTAGTTGCTGGGCTCACCTTGCCAAAAGGCCGCCAACCCCAGGTCCCCTGCTTGGGGCTTGCGTAGCTCGTTGCATTGCCGCCAAAGCTGCATCATTAGAAACCAAACGGTGCTCAGCCAGAACCCAACAACTGCAGGGATCTCAGAAGGCAGTAATACAGCTTTCTCCCGGTCCTGCAAACAAAGCTCCACAAAGGGTGCACTCCAGCAGTGCTGCATTACTAGCTACACTGTGCATTGCTTACATCCAAATGCGGTTCCCAGCCATAATTACAGCCTGTGTACAGTTAACAGATCGAGGCAAGAATTTTAAGTGGGGTTGGGGGAGAAAGAAAACCTTTTCTTTGACGAGAGGAGAGGAATTGATAGTAAACACGTGCCTTAAGATGTTAATATGCATTGCACAATGCAGCATTCTAGAGAGAAACGTTCACATCTGTCCATTGTAGTAGAAATCTAGAACACTGTTCCCTAAATGTTTCAGGATGGAGGTCATTTGTAAAGTTATGAGTTAAGGCAGCTAAATGGAATGGAGATACAGATTGCCAGACCTAATAGAGTCACAGAACAGACTTCGGAAGGAGCTCTGTCTGTGTATCTCTCTCCCCCTCACCAATGTTTCTGTCTCTCTCACAAAGGTTTCAGTGCTCAGACTCCCTCTTTTATTTGATGGTCCATCCTAATGGCCGCACATTCTGACTTTGAGGAAGAGTTTTAAAAGAGACAGCTAATTGCATCACAAACTAGAAGTTGTGTTGGTGATATTTCCGGAGAGTATGATACAGAATAAAATGCGATGGGGGAAGAGTTTTATTCTAAGCGCAGCCTTGGAAGTTGCCAGGATTGATCTCAAGCACAAAGATGAGGAATTATTTACAAGGAGCCACATCCACGGTTTGAAAATTACCCTCAAGAGTTCACCAGGTAAGAGGGACAGCCTGCTGGGAAGACAAGTGACACTGGGATTGTAGCGGAAGATTTCCTCAGCAATTTTTATCCCTTTTCCCTCAGTATCCTCATTTGCATCCCATTAAGCCCTGGGCACTTAACAGCCAATCGTCCTCGATAAAATGTTTGGTATATCCAGTATTTCTGTTGCATCTATGTTGGTCCCAGCCCTGCATTCTGCTTTCAATACATTGATACATTTTTAACGCTTGAACAGCTAATCCTCCTGTCAACTACCCTTTTGGTCATTTCCATGTCTATTAAAAATACTTCTTAAACCCCACACGTGTTACCTATCAGTCTAATACTGCCACTTTGTCTCTGAACTTTCAGGGTTTACTCATATTCTGCTTCATCTCACTTGCTACTGTCATCCAAAGAGCTCTGACTTGGTTCACCCTGCCTTTTCCTATATGTGGGAATATACCACAACTGTACCCGAACTTTCTACAGTTTAAAATTACAATTTTGCTTGTTATTCTTTCATTCCAATTTAATTGGGAAGGCACAATTCTCACTCCAATGGTAAAGGCAGGAAAATGGAATTTAGAATTATCAGATCAGCTAAGATCTCATTGGAAGGCAGAACAAACTTGATGGGCTGAAAGGCCTGCTTCATTCTCACATCTTACAATCCAATTAAAATTGGCCCTCATCCAATTCAGTATTGTTTTTACTCTGAACTGCTCCTTGTCCTTTCCCATTGCATGACAAAGCTTAGGCTTGCTATGACTGCTATTCCCTTAATAATGTTTACACAAAGAAAACTAAATTGGTTTGGGCCATTGCAACAGTCCTGGAGAAACTTAATATTGAAATGCTTGCCAACACAAAACAACAACTTGTATTCAATTACTCATTAAAATGGTGACAATAAACACAGGCCATCCTCTTCCCCACTGTGTAAAGTTCATGAAATATTTAAATTGTGACTGCACAGAGAGCTGGGCACAGGGACCAAGTAAAATGCAAGTCCTAGCAACAGCTGGCACACTATAGTCTCTTCTCTACCATTACTGACATTGCCTCAATTGTAGAACTCAAGAGGTTCACTATTTTAACACTCTCCTGACCAGGATCCTGTTATGGACCAGACCAGACCCCAAAATATTTGAAGGTAGCCTAGACTCTAACTTCATCTTACTTTAAAGGTGTTCCAGATGCAATGTGACTGGTTAAATTACTCTACGTTAAGTAAAACACGATTTATTCAAACACTGCAGTAAAAATACAACAAAAAAGAAAGGAAGAACTTGGAATAACTTGACTCTATTGGCAAACTTAACAGAATAATAGATACAGTAACTATGACTAATTAACTGTTCAATATAATAACCTCCCATATACAGAAAATAAATTGTTCTTCAATCCAGGATGAAAGATGAGAGACAGCGAGAGAGAGAGCGAGAGAAGCAGCAAGGAGAGATTCACTGCTTTCCAAGCCTGTTAAGCCTCTCCTTCTGCAAGCTCGAGCTTATTCAAAGGTTTTGTCCTGACCAGCTCAGAATCACTTTCGCACATCTGCCCTAGACCCTCCCACTTCCATTGGTTTTTGTTTGGGCACTGCATCAGAATTTAACATTCATCCTACCATGGTGGGATTTGATCCCAGGTCCCAAAAACTTTACCTGGGTCTCTGGATTAACAGTCCAATATCACTAGGCCATTGTCTCCCCTGATAATCTATGGCTTGTGCTTTCTAAGAGGCGAGTGGTGAAATTATTGAAACAACTTTTAGCATCACAAATTCAGCATCAGATATAACTTCTGCACGTCCTGTTCAGCCTCCAAATTGGGTGGGTTGTACCAGTACATCATCACCATTCCTAGATTCAGTACTATCATCTCAGCCAAACTTATAGACACTCAAACAATGAGCCATAGGGTACAGTTCCACACCATGTTCCTCTTGAGCTATATGCCAGAAAGTGTATACGTGACAGAACTACAACCTCAGGCTATCTGCCTTTCAGTCAGGCTACTGATGT